TTTGGTTGCAGCCATCATTGTTGTTTGGCGGGCCCGGGCTGGAGATTCGAACCTGCCACCTTAGGTGTATGTGGCTGGCGCCTTAGCCGCTTGAGCCACAGGCGCCGAGCCATAACTCATACTTTTAATAGGGATGGTGCCAATCTAAGGTTTCACAGCAGAGATGCTGCTTGCTGTCCATGCCATATGAATATGAGATAGATATTTTCTACTCAAGATGAGTTTTCACCAATTTCACCTTTGAAAATGTTTTCAAATATTCCCTTCTTACCAATGGCACAAAAAAGGCAGTAGTTATATCATAGGGATGGGGGTTTGGGAGGGTGAGAGATAGGGATGGAATAGGAGTACATAGAGATAAGAATCTTGGGGTTGTTTAGCTATTAAGTTGCATGGTTGGTTCACAGGTGCTTGCGATATTATGCTTTGTAACTTGAGTACAAACTTCAGTGTGTATATCCTGCTATGTATGTTAAGATTGTAAGAATTCTCTTAATTCTATTCCTTGTGTTGCCTCTGGTAACAAATGTTCTGAATTTTTACTTTTTATTTCTCTTGCTCCCTGAGTTTTTGAATCAGTGCTTAAAGCAAGGACTTGGAAAGCTGTATATTGTAATATCTGCGTCTTACATAGCCCAACGTGGTGAAGTTTCCTTGCCAGTTTCTTCAAAGAATTGTTAATTTGGGCTCAGCGCCTATAGCTCAGTGCCTAGGGCACCAGCCACATACATCAGAGCTGGCAGGTTCAAATCCAGCCTGAGCCTGTCAAACAATGACAACTACAACCAAAAAATAGCCAGGCATTGTGGTGGGCGCCTGTAGTCCCAGCTTCTTGGGAAGCTGAGGCAAGAGAATTGCTTAAGCCCAAGAGTTTGAGGTTGCCGTGAGTTGTGATGCCACGGCAGTCTACCAAGGGCTACATAGTGAGACCCTGTCTCAAAAGAAAAAAAAACAAATGTTAATTCGTGAAGTTATTTGAATAATAATTACATTATTGTTAAATACTTTGAAATCATCTATTGCTATTGCTCTTTTGTTGTTTCTACTTTTTTTTTTTAAAGACAGAGTCTCAGGCTGTTGCCCTGGGTAGAGTGCTGTAGTGTCACAGCTCACAGCAGCTAATAATGTTTGTTTTAACATTTGTTTCAAGAGCATTCATGATTGCTCATTTGAGTGTTATAAAGACCTTAAAGATCTTTGTTATAGTTCCACCATCCCTGTCATCTTGTCACTGATGACTGTTGATTGTCTCTTCCCATGTTGTTGTGATTTTCACAGTTCTTCAGGTAATTTTGGATTGAATCCTGACTATTTCTAACATTTTGTTATGGGACTCTTGTGTCTTGTTTAAAACCTATGGAGGATGTTGATATTTTTGTTTTGTCAAGTCAACTTGTGACCTGGTTAGGGCATGAGTTCCAATCTGCCTTCCATGGCTATGGTTTCAATATCAGTTCAGCTTTCAAAGCCCTTACAGTGCTGTCTAGATCTGTCTTGTGTTCACCACCCAGCAGTCAGACTGGGACGCAATTAGGTGAGTTCCCCAAATCTTCTGTTTACTAATTAGAATCGTATCCATGGGCTCGGCGCCTATAGCTCAACCGGCTAAGGTGCCAGCCATGTACACCTAAGGTGGCGGGTTCGAATCCCCAGCCCAGACCTGCCAAACAACAATGACGGCTGCAACCAAAAAATAGCCGGGCGTTGTGGCGGGCGCCTGTGGTCCCAGCTACTTGGGAGGCG